AAAGGGACACAAGTGCGGTATCATTCAGGACAATTCAGGAAAGTGCCTGGTACAATACTGAGAGAATATTGACCAGCAATAGAGCATTTTGATTGGTTGATTTTAGTTATTGGCCCTCTGACTGCCCAAGTTGTGTAATAAATGTAATTATAATCTTTTTAAAGGAGGGTGGACATGACAGTAGAGTTAACGACCTGTGTTGGAGTGATGATGATGGCGCATTGTTTTCTTGTTCAAATGATAAACATATAACTGAGTGGAATACAGGAAATGGGCAGAGAAAATGGTAAGTTTTTTAATTTACTTTCATCATTCTTTCCTGTTAAGATTAGTAGTTTAACCTTCTTCTTGTGTTATTTTGCTTAAGGGAGCCTTGCATGGCATTTATTGATTAATATGTATGAAGCGTATACTAATATTTTTATCAGTTTTTCATAAATCTTCATGTTACTTTAATCTTGTTCTCAATAGTAAATGGAAAGCAGATAAACATGGCGTAAGGTGTATGCGGCTTGGTCCAAAAGGAAACACTCTTCTCTCTGCTGGCAGAAGTATTAAACTTTGGGACTTGGCAACAAAAGAAGCTCTTAAGGTAATAAAGTAACTCTACCTGACATTGTTATTGAGCAAAATCAAAGAAATCTTCCTTCCACCTTGCTCCTCTCTTTTGCCCTTTTTATATGCTTAACGCAATGTATGCCCTTTGCAGTGCTTTCAATGAGATTTGAAATAGGTGGCTGCCTCAGTACAGCACCTGCGGGAGAGCGACTTGAGCATGTTGAGCGCGGTGAAATATACCCAGTGACTCACAACAGAATAACCGCCAAAGCTCCTGTGGGTGCCGGGTCTTATTGAAAGCACTGTCTTTGGGTAATCATCGAAGACCATGGCAGTCTAATGGTAGTGAAAGATAGTTATTCTTACAAGCCAGTTTTCATAATGGATCTATTTCTCCTCTCAACCACATCTCAAGTTTTACAAATAAAGAAGCAAGAAAAACCCTGAAAAGGGGAACTTTGTGGTGTATCATAAAGTGTCCTTACAGTATCACTCCTAAATCACACACTAAGGACACGAGAATAATGGAAATTATCAACAACCAACGAAGCTGTGGATTGTTAAGCAAACTCTCCTTTTCAACACCATAGGAAATGTACAGGGAACAGTATGGAGAATATGCATACTGAATATGCATCGTGATTCCTCGCTCCAAGTTGAAATCTTATGGGGATGGCGCCTTTTCTGTCTCTGCACCTAAGCTGTGGAATGACATTCCTGAAACCATAAAATCTAGTATAGATCGTAACACTTTTAACCGTAATCTTAAAACTTATGTTTTAAAGGTTATTTTAATGAATGATTACGTTTGATTATTATTTTACTTTTTACCTTGATTGTGAAGCGCCTTAGAGCTTTTGGATAGGACACTATATAAATTGTCATATATTTTTTTATTTATTATGATATTAGGGTGGAAAGGGTTAATGTTGCTATCTGATCCCTGTCTTTGTAGAAATTTACTGGTCATGCATCTCCAGTAACACATCTGCAATTCATCCCAAGTAACTTGTCACATGATTCCAATGCAAATCATATTCCAAGTAATGGTATCAATGGACAGTACTTTCTTTCTGGAGCAGAGCAGGATAGATTGATAAATGTATGGTAAGTAGAAGGAATACTTGACTGGTTTAAAGACGATTAATTTTTTCTGACTATAGATTAAAAGCTGTTGCTGTAGCAACATTCTCTTCTTCTTGCCTGGTTGTAAGCTCTTATGATCAACTCCTCTTTCTTCTGGGGGAATGCGGTGGCCTCATGGTTAGTGCAGTCAACTTTGGGTCAAGTCGTCCAGGTTCGAGCCCTGGCAGGGGACATTGTGTTGTGTTCTTAGGCAAGACACTTTACTCTCACAATGCCTCTCTTCACCCAGGTGTTTAAATGGGTACCGGCAAAGTTAATGTTGGGAGATAATCCTGCAGTGGACCAACATTCCATCCAGGGGGGAATAGAAATATTCCCTGTCACTTTATGCTACAGAAACCAGAGTTAGGCACCAGCCTGATAGGCCACTTGGCTCACAAAACAGACTTTACTTTTACCTCTTTCTTCTACCTTCTGGTTTTCTCCTCCACTCTTTTGTCAGCTAACAGATTTGCATGGGTTTTTCTGTCACAGGTACATCAACTTAGACTCACAAGATAAGAATGCACTGGTCTCACTCTCAATCACGGATGAGCCAATAGCAGTGGATGTTATACGACACAGTAACAGAGACAAGGTACATGTAACCACAAAAAGGGAACACATTGGCTGCTATTGCAGGGCTCGACACTAATGGAGCCCACTAGCCACAGACTAGTAGAAGTTCTGGTTTGGCTAGTGGTTTTCGATTTCCATTAGCCCAGTTTGGCTAGTAAACAGGGTGAAATTGTCATATCATCTATGATGTCACGAGCCACTTGGCTAGTAAGTTGAAAAGTTAGTGTCAAGTCCTTTATTGACTTTTCTTAGAAAGAAATTAAGATTAAGAAGTAAAATATAGCTTCACTTGTCCAAAAGAAGAGATAACAAACTTACATATGTTATAACACCATATTTTTATCTTCAGCCTATCCACATTGCTGTTGCCTCGAAAGATGGTCAACTACACATTTTTGAATATTCACTCAATGGGTAGGTTATCCCAAAAGTCTTTTTTTTCTTTTGGATTTCATTGTAGATATTCACTAAATTATTTTTGCAAAGTGGTTTTGCGGAATCATGACTTGTCTTACTGTGAGATGCAGTGGCCTTATGGTAAGCATGGCTGAGCTCAAGTACGGAGGTCTCCCTCTAAGCCCTGTTCAGGTCCTTCTGCTCTT